TTTATTCGTTAGCTAGCCAGAAAAGCATCCCATCAGTCGGTGACATTTCATTAACATCAACTTTGAGAGAACTACATGTACTCAATGGAAAAAACGTTCAAATAAGTGCAAGTCAGTCAAAGTTAGGAGCAACCAGCAGGCGCTGTTCAGGGAAGGGGATCCACGCTTCCCCCTGGAAGGAACAAAGACAGTTCTCAAGCAGTGTATGACATTTGCAGACTGCAGACTGCATGAGGCAGGAAGACTGTAAATTGAATGAAACCAAAAATATCGTAATAAAGGTGGTGTCATCATCAACATTACGTTGTTCCGAAAAGTAAGGCCTGGAAGTGAAGTTTATATTTTTGACGCAAATTACACCGACCTCATTCCTAAAGGAGCTGTTGGCTGTTCTTTTCGTATTGAATTAGAGCAGAATAATGTCTGCTGATGTCACAAACTTGCTCATGAATCCATAGCAAGTCTAGCAAATTACCCTGCACCACAGACGAAACTAAACTATAAGTTTGTCTGTGAAACAGCGCCGGAATCTCTATTCAATGGGGGCCCACCTGTGTACTAGGACTTGAGTATGAGCAATGATTTGCCTATTTAGAAATTCAAAATGCACTTCTGATAATTCGTCGAGTCCAGATAGGATCTGTTCATTTTCGATTATTTGGCATATCCCTAAATACTGTAAGATGAAATATGTCATTTAAAAGGTGTTAAAGGTCCTTGATCTATCCTACGAAGCAGCTTGCAATCTAAAAACCTTTTTATACAGAAGGCTACTATTTAGACAGGCATTAGTGGGCATTGCGACTTGTCATTCTCAATTTATGATAATCAAAGAAGAATAAAGAATCAACACAATTAGTGATATGCTAGGTGCGTTGACAAAGGGTTGGTGAAGAATAGCCAACAGCATTTTGGGAATGAAGCCAATGTAACTTTGCACAAAAATATCAACCTTGTCCCCGAGGCTACTTTCTCACTTTCACACGATTTTATATTTTTGAAGACGTCACCTTTGTTAGGAAGATTTTTGGTGTCATTTAATTTACAATCTGCAATCTGTGGTCTGCAGTCTGCGGTCTGCAGTCTGCAAATGTCATACACCGGTTCTCAAGAGAGCAGCAAGAACCATGCCCTGTCTAAAGTCTCTTTGAGATCAAATTTCATAACGACAGCATGTTCTAATCAAGTTAAATCAATATATTAATTATTATTAACTGTGAAGGTATAACTTGAAGAAACACACGGCTATGGTGATGTAGTTACAATGCTGAAATTAACATTGATACCAGATATACTAGCAACAAACAGCACAGGCACCCAGACGTAGTGTATAAAGACAAAACAATGATGTACTTGAGATATACTAACAGGAAATGTGACCTCTACAGAAAGCCTTTCATGCCGTTAAAGGTCATTTCTTGCTAGCATGATTTCAAGGTGGTTTTATAAACGATGTGAACTTCGCATCAATATGTTGTTCCCGAAAAATATCGAAACTTCTTTTCACAGAAAGTTTTCTGGATTTCTACCCTCCCTTCTCCCCTAGACACTCATGGATAAACCTCACTCACCTGTAGCCTTTCGGTAAAGTTTCATACTTGTAATTTGTTGAAATTTTTGGCATTTTTAAGACTCACTTTTGTCCCATAATTCCTAGATTTGTTGGTATGGATATTGTCTGGAGCCACACAAATTATCCACTTTTTACTCCCCATTCCATATGTATTCCATTTCTTAGGATAAACCTGACGGGTTTTGGGGGTGAGAAGATTATATTCAGTCTTTGTGATTTCTGGAATAATCAAAATTGAGGTAAGTCTTATATCAGCTACGCTGAAAGCCGAGGCTGATAACACTTACCGAGACCTTGCTTATTGTAGATATCATAAAAACTGAATATAATAATACATTCTATTACACATTGTTTTGAAATAAGTAATGACAAATACGCCGGCGCCAGTTTGTAAATAATAAAACAAATACAGTACTTGTTGTTAGAGAAATGATCACATAAATCCGACTTAATTTTCCGCCATTTTTAAGCCTGTTTGGAGCCCAGGTTTCAATCCTAGAAACTTGAAAGGTTACAAGCTTTTTGAAAAGTGGTCCCAAAAAATCTTTCTGCTGGCTACTTGGCTGCTTTAGAAACCAACGTTTCAAAATGGTGGCCAAAAAGAAAGTTTGTGATGGAGAAAAATTGCATCTGTTTAACCGGTGATTTTCACAGTATATATCATTTAATCCGACGGCAACTGGAATAGCGAGGAAATTACAAGTCCAAAAAGATTCCAGTTAGGTGAAAGGTATGTTTTGATAATTAATTAATACACACAAGTTGATCCTCATTTTGAAATTCCACAGCTTAAGTTTAGTGCCTTTGATTTACATTTAAGGGATTGAGAATCGCAGTTGCTCCGGGAATTTTGGGCCCTTCATGGGTACCCACTGTTAAACTGCAAAAAAGTTTTTGCAATTTTGGATACGTACGTAGCCTTATCGACAGTAAGTTGTCTACCGTGATTTTTTGTAATTTAAGCTTCCTCTCTTGCTTATCAGAGGCTCCAATCGATAAAAACAGCGATAAAAAAATTGCTGTTGGTGTTAACTGCCAGTGTTTGCATTTCGTTCTCAAATTATCGTTTGCTAAGGTATGACCATGTTGGAGTGAGGGCTTCTCTAGACCTGGGGCTAGCTGAATGCTTGGTTAGCAAGGGTTTTGTAAGCTATTACCAGAAAAAGGTTGTATCTAAGAAGAAGCCACAATGTTCTGCCCTCCCAGTAAACAGCTGAGAAAATACAAAAAAAATACAATCACTATTTCGGGAGTAATGCAGCTGATCACTTCATCAATGAAAATAAACATGTTATAAACCATTTTCCAGTTGTGGGCTTTGAAGCCTAACCGTCGAGTGAATATGAAACAGACGTAGCCCATGTTTTGATGCAAACCTCCCTTGACTCATGACGATTATTGCTCTTTTCTGAAGAACAACAAAATTAGCAAAAGAAAAGAGAAAGGATGGATATCAAAGCAAGGTCAACTCTAGCCTCGTTTATATATATCTAAAATTGGCTATTCGAGAAAAAGGAAACGACCTGTTCGAATGTTAAGTATGAACACAACGAAAGCAACTTTTTTTACTATTAACTTTCTTTAAAGTACAGGATGCCTTTTTCATTGTGAAAAAAAGATGAAAGTCTCCAGGTTCATCACAATAAGGAAAAAGTAATTGTAACAACAGCAAACAAACGAACAGGCATGCGATCAATTAAAATTGACAAAGACAGAAACGCAACCTAGGTCAAACATTAGCCATGATAACTGGGCTTGTAATAATAACTGTAAAGGAACAAAAGTTTCAAAACAAGAACATTTCTCTAATTCAGAATTGTTTGTGACATCCAGATTTGATTTCTGCATGATTCTTCAACCATCCTGCAAACTTGTGTTTACGTACAAAAACACAACCATTTTTCAAAAAAATGTACTTTAAGCTGTCTTTCCCCCCTTTTTTTTTGTACCAAATTAGGGAGTACTTTAATGAGGAATCATGATACGCTTTGCAGATATTGCACTTTCAAGCGCTGACATGTAAGGAAATCAAAAGGCTTCTTGCCTTCTTCTACCATGGAGACTTCAGTGAAACCAAACTCCTTCTGTAACTTCTCCGCGTGTTTCCACAGCAGGCCACTGAGCTTAACAGGCAGCTGTTCCATTGAGAAGGTTGGGTTTTTCGCAAGAACACAAGACTTGTTCAAGTGATAATAAACATTCTGTGGCCGTGCTGAAAAGGTTAAGGCGCCTTCTTTTGTTTTGTACATCCTCAGTTCTTTATGGCACAAAACGACGTCAAAAGGCGCAGGGGGCACTACATCACTTGGGCGGCCAGTTGGTTTTGGTCTTACAGGATGGTCACATCCGTAACACATGAAGGCTCTGGTTTCGTTTATCCAAGTACACGTGTAATGGCTTTCGGATGGGTGTGGCACGTTCACGGCTGCTACTCTTGGCTGATAACCAGTGGTGTCTCTCGGCGCTGAAATGTCTCTTCGTCCACCACGTCTTCTACTTTGGCTGGGTCTCTTACCAGATGATGACGGCATTCCTTCAGTTGCTGTGTGGAATAGGCTACTTTGTGAAGAAGTTGTCGTACACGACGATCTGACACCAAATGCCTCTAATACTGCCATTGTATGGAAAGTCTTTATTTTTCTTCTTTTTGCGCTTTGGTCATGGTCATCCATTTTGCCCCTGGCACTACTAGATGTTGGCACTCAGGTCTAACCTTGAAAGGTCCTTCACCAGTTATTGACCTCTCAATGTTACGTTCTTGTTCTTCAGCCATTAACTTCAGCTGATCTTCTCCATTCTCATCTTGATACGGTTATTCATAGATTCTGGATCATTGTTGAAGAAAAAGTTGTTGTCAAGCCCCACTTTTTCCCTCACACTGGAAATCATCCTATCCTTCATGTCTTAAGCAACGTGGTTGAGAAAGTACCAGTAAAATTCTTCATGGTCTACACTTGGTAATTGCCTTACATCCATTTCTCTTTTCCTCCAGACGGGATAAAATGATTCTAAAAGGGCATCAAAGTCAGTGGCACAGGAGGAGTTGATAAGGCCAAGCTCTTTTCTTGCCTTGGAGCCAAAAATGTCGTCCATAAAGATTCGTTCACAAGCTTGGTCAACTCCAAGATCCCCCAACTTCCTTTGGATGTCTTGCTCTACGTGGCCTTTGCAGTACACCATGGTAGCAATGGGAAATGAAGAGGAAAACCGTTTTCTAAGAGCAACGTCTCTGTCTGAGCCAATCGCCAGGACGTTTGAGAGGTCAGCATTCAGCGACACAAGTAACGATAAGAAGTACCGGTATGTTTGGGCCTTCTTCTGCATATGAACCATTGTTGGCCCTAACAACGTTGGTGGCTTTCCATATTTCCTGTCTACCAAAAGGCTGTGCTTATACGTAGTTGGAGTAACGTAAAAGTTCCCAATGTTAAACGTTGTGTCTATGCACAGTATCTGAGGGGGGTAGAATGTGTGCGGTACAAAATCGCCCTACATCGTTCAGTTGCCTGCTGCTGGGTAATAGACACGCTGGTTCAGGACTAACTTGCACTCGTCTTATAAATGGTGCAGAATCATTTGCTTCAACACGGGACATCTTAATTAGCTCAGCAACTTGGTCTTTGTCTTTGTGAGATTTGAGACTTCGTTTAACATCAGTTACCTGCTGTCTGCTTTTCGGTAGGTCACCATGCGATGTAAATGCCATAATAGCGAAGCTCTGGTAGCGCGCCTGCGGAGCACCATGGACAAGTAAATCTACCCATCCCAGAAAATTTGGTAATCACGTGACCGTACACTGCCCGCCCGCCCGCCCGCCCGTCCGCCCACACCACAGGGAAACCAGTGTTTAATCCTCACACTTTCTAGCCAGTTTGGGAGCACAGAAAGACTGATATTGCACACATATATTGCACATCAATGTTGTGATCAATTGACAGCTGTCAAAACAGGGTATCCGCTGACCAGTATCACCTGACCGTATTGCAGGCTCAGGTGTCGACCCATCGAGGTGGAATATCTTTTTAAAGTTATCCGCTGACAAGTTACTAGTTTTCTAATGATCGCAGGCTCAAGTTTATTTTTTTAAATTAGACATGCCAGTTGCTTTTGACTTTTCTCACCAAGGTCACGCGTTGGTCACGCTCTACGTCCAAGTCTTATGCTCTGATTGGTCAAAATTTGACAGGTGAGTTCATGCGGAAAATTTATCCAGCATCTTGAACCTTGTTTACTTTGCTGAAGCTGACAGAGTTTTGTGTCAACTTGTGATGTTTTTAACTGTCTTTTCCACTGAATGTACAAAATGAAATTCAGTTGCTATCAAGAGTCTTCTGTTATTCATGGCTAGTTTGTTTACTGGGTTTTTGGTTGAAAAATACATTGCTTGTCAAAGTCGGAAATCCGATTTCGGACGGCATTGTTTGCGTTTTTCACCTTGCTTGATGCGTAAGAGGGTTGAAAAGTCTGAAGCGATTCTGGCCTTACTTGATAGTTTTCAGTGCATCTCGAATGGTAAGCCTGAGTAATTATTGTTTTTGACGTTTGTTTTTTTATATCTAATTTAATAAAGTCGAGCATAGTTTATGCGGCTATTTAGTTTATGCATGTTTTTAATTGTAAGATTTGAGACAATGATATGACCGAGTATCAGGTTTGATTATAAGCTTATAGAACTTTAAAAAGCCTTTAGACATTTTCTCACCGCAAATAGAAAGAAAAAGTTCCAAAGAACATTTAGTTATAATTCTGGCTGTAAACGAAAGCTTTGAGCGATTTTCTTGCCTCAAGTTCATCTTTGAAAAAGCACCGGGAAGCCGGCTTACAAAATGAAAAACATAAACAAGGATTTTCAGCGACACTTTTAGTACTTGTCTTCGTGAATGAAAATTGTTGTCTCTGTATATGTTTCACCGCATTATTTTCCTCTTATTGATTGTTAGTAGTCTGTTTTGCAATTTTTATCGCAGTGCCATTTGTTTTCAGTCGCTCATGAACATCGCTTGCATGCAGGAGTAGTCAAAATGCCATGCCTATCAAACGCTTTTGGCGATTAGACATCGTTACAAAAATAAACATAATAAATTCTATATTATGTTGAAGTGTATAACTCTATTAATCATAATTTAAACAGTCGACTTTGGCGTTTGTTAAAAGTGAGAATTGGCCACATGTGCTTCGATCGTGCTGAATATTGAGTGAGTGAAATTTGTATTGCAAAATTGTGAAATACTGCATTCTTTCCGAGGTCTGTATGATAAAAACAGGGCCTCATGGTATTGTTTCACCGCAGATGTGATGTATAAAAAGTATAAAAGGTTGGGTTACACGTCCCAAGACTTGTTAGCAAGATTTTGTTAAGTAAACTTGTCGAACGCAAAAAATTCGGCTTGATTTGTTGTCCAAGAATTTGCTTTCCAGGCCTAATCTACTGTGATCAAGAGCCCATGGTCTTAAACGTGATCGAAGATGATTGCTATTTTTTGGGTGTACATATAAGGCTATCAACTCGATGTAAGATTAAGTTCACTCTTGGACTGTTTGCAAATTACTTTCCTCTAAAATCACTTAACCTTTCCCTCAAAAGTCACATGAATGTGCTCTAAAGTTAACTGAATTGTGGAAAACAAGTTTATGGTTTGATTTAAATTATAAATTCGAGTTAATATATAGGAGCCTCGCTTTTGGCCTGGCTAAATCTATATATTACCTCTCGCATCCTCAAAAACCTCGTCATACACTTGAGTGGGTCCCTTGCGGGTTTTCACCTTTTCTTTGATTGCGTCTAGAGTACTTGGTTTACTGTGGTAGTAACACCTCTCACTTTTCTTTGCATTTTTATGGCGTTGACATTTGATTGGGTGTGGGTCACCATCAAATTCATAGCGAACAATTACGTGCGGAAGCCGCACGCCCCTGTTGTCTTATCCCTCAAAGCACCTTCATTTAAAATCCTTGTGTTTTTGATGCATCCAGTAGGTTTTCGTGAGGTGCACCACATTAGCTTCATTTTTCCTGAAGGTTTCGTTTTGGACAGGAAATGAGATTCAGTCTCAGTGACCTCATAGTAGCCAAGATTCACTTTTCTGACATGATGGAACGCTCCAAGATCGTCAGCTTTCCAGTCATTTGGGTTTTTCAGTGCCCTGGTATCTATCAGAAGGGTACTGTTTTCTTGGCATCCAACAGGTACCTTTCTGCAAACATAATCGGAAGGAGGTTCTTTGATAGGAAACAGAATTTCTTCCATGCCTTCTTCCAAGTTAATATTTAGCATGGGAAGCTCTACATCACCTTTAAACAGTTGTGGAATTTCTTCGCTATCACTATCAGAAGAGAGACTTTGACTCTGAAACAAAAATGAATTAATACAAACGATCATAAATCTGCTATTTAAATTACAAACACTCCAGTAAAAAAGTCAATGTACTGTTTAAGAACTGAACTCCTTTATCCTTCCTCCAACACGATCCTATGAATCGTTCCGGGGTATATATAATAGAAAATCATTCTAAGAACTGTTCTTAAGGTTGAAAAGGGTACTGCTTTCCCTTTTCAGTCTAATTACTTTCTACAGCAATTTTCCATTTTCACACTCTCAGGGTTTCAATTTGAGCTTCCTAGCCGGAAAAATACCTCTTATTCTTCCACCTAAGTAAGTTACGCCATTTTCAACCTGTAACTATCTTTTTTGTAATAATTATGTGGAATAACTGTATATATTTTATTTCAGGCAAAAACAATACACTGAAACTGAAGCTCAGAAATCATACGTTTGCTGCACAAATATGGTAGTAGTTTTTGAAAATGTGGTGGTGAAGGATAAAACGGAAAGCTATTTCTTGACTGTTTCTACTACAAATGCACAATGTATAGTCATAATGACTAAACCTTTTGTGAAGTTCATCTTCTAACAATGTAGGTGCAGGACTAAACTCTAAAGCTACATAATGTCATTAGACACATCACGCGTTTTGCTTGTCATTACCTGTACAGAGCTGGTAACCTAAAGATCTTCGTTCACGTTTCGTTCTTCAGTGAATAGTTTCTGTAAAGGAAAGGATGCTTACGTTTTAAAAAGGATGATTCAAGGCATGCTTGTTATTACACATTTTATGCTGGAAACGCGACAAAATAATTTTCAAGAGACAGCAGGGAAGTGCTCATAGATAGTACTACAAAGATGAAAACGTACCTGTGATATAACTTTGTGGCTGCTAGCCAGCCCAGGACCGCGCGGTAGTGTAATTTTCACGCTCTTTTGTGGTCAGGTGACCAAGCCGTTATTTTTAAGTTGCATGATCGTTAGCTCGGCGGTCAGAGATTACTTCGCTCGCTAGTTCAGCGATGGATTTTGGTTTTTCTGGACAAATTTATAATAGGCTCACAAGGTACCGTATTAGTCTTTCTTTCGTCTTCTCTTTTATTTGGTTTATTATTTCGCCTGTTGTAATTTTCTAGTTAAGTTTGTATTCGTATTTGTTTACTTAGTACATTTCTCGTCGCATGTAATTAATATCTTTCAATTGTATTTTCCTTTCTAGTTTTACATCAACCTTATCTACTTGTCAGTAAAACAACAGCCGTTTTTTCAGTGTTAGAATTCACCGCGTTTGAGTTGTTGTCTCAATGTGGTCACAGTAAAACTTGTGCCGATTCGGAACCGCTTTTGTTGAGAGTTTGGAATCATGGACCAGACTTCTGAAGTTGTGGAAGATGGATCGGATTTGAACTTCGATGAAACAGTGGCCGGGATTGATGTTTCTGGAATCAGAAGAAGTACTCGCGTTCACGTTCCTACTGAAAGAGGGTTGGATTATCAGCTCCCTCTTTGGAAAAAGAATTACAATCAATGTAAGAAGAAATTAGAAGATAAGCTAAACGCTCTAGATATGAGTTGGACGGAGCTGTCGGATGCAGAGGCTTTGAGAAAAAAGAGAACGTTTATAGAAGATTACAAAAAGGCCCTTACGGAGGGATCCTCGGAGTTCGTGCTGCTATTACCTAGCGAATATGCCAATGATGTGGCTCGTGAAACAGATTACTTGAACAGGCAAGCAGTGGAGTTGAGGAAAAGGATTGGCGAAAGGATTTTCGAACTGGAAAAGGTGGAATTGCAGTCGCGTTGTAGTGGAAAAACGTCATCCTCCATGAAAAGTAGTCGTTCTTCAAAGCACTCAAGTGCCTCTCAAATTTCTTAAATGAAGATTAAAACTATGACTGAGTTGGCCAAGAGGAAGGTGGAAATGCAATATGCAAGAATTGAAGCTCAAAAGCAAATGGAAATGCAAAGGAAGAAATTCGAAATAGAAGAAATTGAAAGACTGAAGAGTTACGAAAGTGCTAAAGCAGATGCGGTGGCGAAGATAGAAGATGAAGAAGGGAACCCCAAGTTGCTGAACCTTGACCAATTCGGGATCACCAAAGACGATAAATAAGGAGGAACAGACTCGCAACTGTGTCTCATCTTTAACAACTCTCTCCTCCACTGGCAGTCAGGATCCTTTACCATTCTTGTTTGAACCTTCGACTAAAGATGAACATCCTTCCATGTCGCCAGAAATGGCCCTTGGCACACATCTAAACATGGTGCAAGGAACTAGCTCAGATCAAAAGGAAACCCAAGATAGTGTGCACGATCTGCCGGGGAAGATTCCCTCTCGTTCAGTAGCAAGCGTTGCTTTCACCCAGCCCCTTAGTGGACCTGCCAGCACTGAAAATCAGCACCGTGCAATCACTGAGGCGATAGCTGAAGGCATGGAGGCGGCAAGATTACCGACGCCTCACCTAACAGCATTCAGCGGAGACCCCCTTGGTTGGCCAACATGGAAGGTTGCCTTCGAAACTGTAATTGAGAAAAGGGCTACTAACACGAACGAGAAAATGCTGTACCTTCTGCAGCACTTGTCGGGGCCTCCTAAGAAAATTGTCGAAGGGTATCAGTTCGTCCAAACTGGTGACGCTTATGAAGAAGCTAAGAAGATTTTTGAAAGACGATTCGGGCACCCGCTGTTGTTGCAGATGCTTTCCGCAAAAGGTTGGAAGGTTGGCCAAAGATTCCACCCAAAGATGGATCCGCTTTGCGAGATTTCGCAGATTTCCTCAAAACATGTCAACTGACGATGCGGTGCGTAGAAGATCTTGAAACCCTAAACAAACAACATGACAATAAGCAGCTGCTAAAGGTTCTGCCTTGCTGGGCACTTCCCAAATTGGGAGTCAGAGTGAGAGACTATCAACTCAAGCACGGTGATAGCAAGTTTCCCCCCTTCTCGGAGTTTGTTAAATTCATTGCTGAGACTGCAGAAATACAGTACCTTCCTGTACTTACAAACTTAGACACAAACAGATTCACGAAAGACATCAAGGCCAGGAATCTCAAAACAAGGTTTGGAAATCGAAAGGGTGATGACACTAACACGCTTGCTACGGGAGCAAACAAAGAGCCAATAGCAAAGGATGAAAGGAAAGCAGCCTGTCTTTGCTGTGGTTATAGGTCACACGATCTTGATTCATGCAGAGACTTCATGAAGAAACCCTGGAATGAGAGAATCCAGTTCATCATAAGAAAGGAACTTTGCCTAAAGTGCTTAACTCACGGTCACATGGCAAAAGAGAACAAGTGTGAAAGTGTTCCAAGTTGCAAGAAATGCAAACAGAAACACCCAACCTGTCTGCACAAGGAAAATGCTGATGATGCTAAGGTACAAATTCCTAAGGCACCAGTTAGCTGTACAGGCGCCTCCAATGCAAAGATTATCCACCCCGATGAAGGCGATGCTACAGCTAAGTGCACAAGTGTCTGCTCCATTTAAGGTCAGCAGCTTGGACACGACCAAAGCTTGATAGTTCGAGTTTGGGTTTCAAGCTCTAATGATTACCAGTGTGTTCTGACGTATGCCCTGATTGATTGCCAGTCGAATGCCAGTTTCATCACAGACCAGTTAAGGGAGACGCTGAAGGTTGATGGGGTAGAAAGTCACCTGCGCTTGTCAATAATGCACAAAGATGACTTGATCGAATGCAAGAAAGTACAATGCCTTGTGGTAACAGATTTCCAGAGACAGGTTAGCATCCCCTTACCAAAGGTCTACACGAGAAACAGTATACCGTACAAGCCCTCTCAGTTTCCAAAGCCTGAGGTTGCCATGCAGTGGAATCATCTTAACCGTATTGTGTCGGAGCTCATGCCTTCCAGAGATGATATAGAGGTCAGACTGTCCTAAGGCTATTAGGAGCAGACCATGATCCATATGGTATCAAAACTGACCTTGGATGGGGTATTATTGGCAGAGTGTGTAAGACTCCACCTGGAGATTATGAAGACTCGCCTGGAGGTTGGACGAACAGAACTGTCACGAGAGGAGACAAGCTTTGCCTTGGAGACTAGGACGAAAGAGATCATAAGCCCTGCGTGCGTTAAGCAGATGTTTGAAAGAGACTTTCAGGAGATAGTTGGACCTAAGAATTCACATATGCGAGCCCCGTCAGTTGATGATAGAAGATTTCTAGAAATTTTGGTCAAAGGTATCCACAAGACCAGTGATGGCCACTACGAAATGCCGTTACCGCTTCGTTCACAAGATGTTAAGCTGCCTAGCAACAAATCTTTAGCGTTGAGAAGATTGCTTACGCTAAAGGCGCGTTTCAGAGACCCAAGTTTTCACAAAGATTACACTGACTTCTTGGAGGAAACCATTAAGAATTGTGCAGAGGAAGTTCCTTTGGAAGAAAGGATTAACAGTGCGATCGGGGAAGGCAAGATTAACTACGTTCCACATCATGGGATCTACCATCCCAAAAAACCTTCACAGATAAGAGTGGTCTTTGACTGCAGTGCAACGTTCAAAGGAACATCCTTGAATAAGAGCTTACTTTCAGGACCTGACATGACAAACAGTTTAACAGGTGTCTTCTGCCGTTTCCGCCAAGAGTGGGTAGCCGTGACCTGTGATGTGAAAGGGATGTTTCATCAGTTCTTCGTCAATAAAGAACACAGAGACCTCCTCAGATTCTCCTGGTGGGATAAAGGAGATATAAAGAACGACCCAGGGGAATATAGAATGAAAGTACACCTTTTCGGAGCAGTCTCGTCTCCAGGGTGCGCAAACTTTGGCTTCAAGAGAGTGGCCGACGACGGAGAAATGGAGTTTGGCACGAACGCGGCAAGCTTTGTGCGTAAAGACTTTTATGTAGACGATGAATTGAAGTCAGTACCATCTGTTAAAACTGCCATCGACCTCATTCGTAACACACAAGCCATGTGTGCAAAGGCTGGCCTCAGATTACACAAGTTCAGCAGCAATAAGAAAGAAGTCATTCAGGCTGTTGCCCCGGAAGATTGCGCAAAAGGATTACAAGAATTGGACCTCGTGTGTGACCCCTTGCCAATAGAACGAACTCTCGGCATCATGTGGTGTGCTGAGTCAGACACCTTCCAGTTCAGAATCGTTATTCAAGATCGTCCACTTACTAGGAGAGGGATCCTGTCCACCGTGTGTTCTGTATATGACCCACTTGGTTTTGTGGCACCCCTCATTCTGATGGGAAAACAAATACTACAAGATTTATGTCGTAACAACGCTGACTGGGACGACCCAATTGGTGAGAAGCTTAGACCGAAATGGAAACCATGGCAAAACCAGTTGCACGAGCTGGAGAAACTCAAGATACCTAGATGTTACAAACCTGAGGGTTTCGGTGAAATTAAAGCAGTGGAGGTGCATCATTTCTCTGACGCAAGCTTAGCAGGATATGGTTAGTACAGCTATCTGCGTCTTCTAAATAGGGACAATCAAGCCTACTGTTCCTTTCTTATGGGAAAGGCCCGTGTTGCTCCGTTAAAGTTCATAACAGTTCCTCGATTAGAGTTGCAAGCTGCTGTCGTTTCGATTACAATAAGTCAATGGCTGCTGAAGCAACTTGATTACCAAGACGTGTCAGAATTCTTTTGGACAGACAGCAGGGTTGTGATTGGTTACATCAACAACGAGACTAAGCGCTTTCACACCTTCGTGGCAAATCGCATTCAGCAGATACATGATCACACCGGCCCTCAACAGTGGCAGTACATTGAATCAAAGTCGAATCCAGCCGATTCTGCCTCTCGAGGCCTTACAGCTCGTCAGCTTGTAGATGATGATTCCAGGTGGCTTAGAGGCCCAAACTTCCTCTGGAGTCCGGGTGCTTATCGAAAAGAAGTAGAGGACAATCCACAACCACTAGATTCTGACGACCCCGAAGTGAAGAGAGCATCACTGGTGACGCAAACAAACAAGACACATCCAGTTCATTTTGAGATTAGCCGACTGGATCGGTTTTCTGACTGGTTCAGAGCAAAGAGGGCTATAGCAGTTTGCTTGCGACTTAAACAGCGTTTAAAGGAGGGAAAGGAAGCTGAGCAAGTTGTCAGATACCAACCGGTGAACGTGAATGAAATTGGTCAAGTGGAGATAGAAATTATTCGCTGCCTTCAGCATGAGCATTTTAAGGACGAAATCAATATCTTGTCATCGCTGCAAGAAAGTGAAGAATTCCATGACAGGAAAACAGCCAAGCAGCATAACTTCAGCCTCAAGAAATGCAGTAGCTCCGACTCGATCCGTTCTTGGATTCAAATGGCATTTTGCATGTAGGGGGACGCCTTAGAAGGGCCATCATATCAGATAATGTTAAACACCCTGTTATCCTGCCTAGAAAGTCTCATATCACTTATCTTATTCTCAAACACTGCCAGGAAGAGACCCAGCATCAAGGTTATGGAATGACTCATAATGAAGTGCGTCAACGCGGTTACTGGATAATTGGTGGCACTTCTGCCGTCTCTCGTTTTGTTTCTAAGTGTGTCATGTGCAGAAGGCTGCGCCTCCCTCCGCAGCACCAGAAGCTAGCCGACCTTCCTGAAGACCAGATAGAACCTGCAGCTCCGTTTACATACAGTGCAGTAGATTACTTTGGTCTCTTTGTGGTAAAAGAAGGTCGTAAGGACGTGAAGAGGTATGGCGTGTTGTTCACATGTATGTCATCTCGAGCCATTCATATCGAGACCGCAAATACACTGGAAACTGACTCATTTATCAACGCCCTTAGACGTTTTCAAGCAGAACGTGGTCCTATTTGCCAACTTAGGTCAGACCAAGGTACAAATTTTATTGGCGCCCATCGAGAACTGAAGGATGCTTTGAAGGAGATAGATCAAGAT